TAAATTATTCAAATTTATAAAAATTAATGGTCAGAATAAAGATGTCTTATAACCCTTGTGAAACGGAGGCAATAGTTGATAAAATATGTCTTAGAAAAGAACAAAAGTATCATCTTGTCTAGGCCTTTGAGGCGGCAAAAAGTGAAAACATATACAGAGCTAAAACCGATAAGTTTTAAAATTATGAGTGCATCTTCTAGCTTCAGAAGGACGATAGTGCGGTCCGAATCTTCCAGCTCGTAGCTGGGCCCTTGGGCCAGTACTGGAACCGGAAGAACAAAGCCGGGCTTCTGCCCCCCGGCCCCCGGTCTCCCCGGTCCACTCCACCACCTTTTCCTTCACCTTTTGATCGACGCAGACCCCACCGGAGAACCAAGATACACAGTCACACAGCACGTTAGCGTTAAAGACGTGACAATCCTAGAATTGCACATATGCTTTTCTGCCACAGTGCCTCACTGCCTCTCCCAGCCGCCGCCGGCCGGCCGGCCGGCAGGCGTACGGTGCTGGCCTGGCAAAAGCCGTTGTCCGACCCCGCGCACACTGTCGTGCTCCCCGGCCGCCCGATCGGCCGATCCCAGCGTCACGGGAAGCTGCGCGGCCTGGCAAGTGGCAAGGCCGCGACGATTTCGCGGACCACACCGCATGACGAATTGACGATGCTAGATGCCATCCATCGCCCTTGAATCTCACAGATCGACCAACAGTGGAGTGGAGTGGCCGGCCGCGCTAATACTAATACTGACAAATCCCAAAGATTCGGTTCCCAAACCGCGGCCGGTGCTGCTCGCCAAACAGCCACCAGAACCTCACCTAAACCGCTCGTTTTATTCTAACAACACAGCATCATCCCCAGCTCTTACTCTTTTCTTACCCGTAAACCAAACTCGTTTCATTTGGTCAAACAAAGCAAGGAGGCCACACACCGGGCACCACCGCCCGGGTCGTCTCCACTCTCCATCCTCCGCCTCCGGCCCCGGCATCTCGCCATGTGCGGTGGGTGCTGCCGCCGTCAACGCGGCCCCGACGGGACGCCAGTCGTCGGCGCCCGGCGCCGGGGCTGCGGGACCGTGCTCGCCGTGCTGGCCCTGGCGGTGTCCGCGGTGGTCGCTTTCCTGGAGAGCACGGCCGGCGGGGTCTCCTACGCGGGGGACGGGTGGCTGCACGAGTGCGCCAAGTGGGACGCCGAGGGCGGCCGGTTCCTGGCGTCCACCTTCTTCGGCGGCGGCGTGGCGGAGGTGCGCGCCGGCGAGGCCGAGGAGCGGGTGGTCGTGGCGGACCCCGACGCGGCCGGCCGCGTCGCGCTGGGGCTCGCGATCGACGCGCCCAGGCGGCGCCTGCTCCTCGTCTACGCCCACCGACCGCCGCTTCGCTTCGGCTACGCCGCGCTGGGCGCCTACGACCTCGGATCGTGGCGCCGCCTCTTCCTCACACGCCTCGACGTGCCAGGTGGGTCTCTCGGCCGCACGATTGCCCTCCCTGTTTGCTGATTACTGTAGGATCGCGTGCCCTGTTTGTTTGGCTAGAGGGAGCAGCCACCACCCACTGACGGGTGGGCCTCTGTCTGTGCCGCCGCCAGAATTCGTTCGGTTGGATCACAGATTTTAGCCGGAATGTTTCATGGAAGGAATTAAATTTTGTCTAGACTTCCATGAATGTCACTTGTTCAATGCTGGACAGGACGTAATAAAAGAGAAAAACAAACAGCAACAGCAGAAATTCCTAGTGAAGTGAAACTCACGTATCAGTATAAATTTGGAAAGTTTTAAGAAACCATGTTAAAATTTTCGCAGAATGAGCGTTATTGTTCAGGACACATGAATTTTGTTTTTCAGTCGTTTTCACGTATCAGTGTACTGGTATTCTAGATTTTCTTCGGTGGACAAAAAGTCCAAGCACCCATTCAGAAAGTTAGACCGCTCGAACGTCTCTCGTTTCCTGTAGATAAATCGTTTCCATTCCTCTGATATTTCGACAACGGACAACCTATCCTGTCATTTTGGTACTACTAGAGTGAAATTCGTAATTCCAAACGTGCAGACTAATTTGGTACTTTTTACGCATCAACTTCATCGAATTCCCTAGCATGTTCCTAGACTTCATGATGTGCGTATATAGTGCTAGTTTAAACCGTGCAGAAATGGTGTGATTACGCCATCATTCATCGAGGGAACGGACATCATCGTTTATGTGGTTGTCACAACGCTGCATATGCCTGCATGCTTTCTGTTCCCCTTTTCCTCCTGATCTTACACTCCCCTAATGAAAATTTGGTGGTTTCAGCCAGCACAGACTTAAATTTTGTCCATAACTTGCGTACCTTCATGACCGATCCTGTTTGATTTGCAGGTGAATCTACATTCCCCGACGATGTCGCCGCCGACGATGACGGCAACGCCTACGTGACCGACGCCAAGGGAAGCAAGATCTGGAAGGTCAGTCCGGACGGCGTGCTGCTCGGCGTCATCAAGAACGCCATGTTCGTGCAGCGACCGGGGCTGCGGCACAACTTGGTCGGCCTCAACGGCATCATACACCACCCTAACGGCTACCTTCTCGTCGTCCACACCTCCGGCGGCGACCTCTTCAAGGTCGACCCGAAGACAGAGACCGTGCGCGTCGTCAAGGTGCGGGGGTCGCTGAGGCAAGGGGACGGGCTTGAGCTGCTCTCCCCGACGAGGCTGGTTGTCGCCGGCATGCCGAATCGGCTGGTGGAGAGCTCCGACGACTGGGAGACCGCGAGCGTCAGCGGGCAGTACGTCGGGCCGATCCACCGGGTCGGGTCGTCGGCGACGGTAAAGGACGGTGACGTGTACATCAACCACATTGTCGGGTTCGGGCTCGGCAAGAAGAAGACGCACGTCCTTGCGAGGGCGGTGTTCTCGCCGTTGGCCGCAGCGAGTTGACAGCCGGCGCCTCCGCGCGCGCTCCGTCGTGGGATAAGCAGTCGCTTTTTGCTTAAGCGGCAGTTCATAGTTCCATACAGTTGCAGACTATACGTACTTCAGTGTGATATAGAGATGCTCATACTTTTGTTTTGACACGTTGCTCGAAGCTGCACGATTGTTCTGTTTGATGCACGCAAAACATGTACATGAATCCTTTCTTGGGTCAATTCAATTCTGAATTAGCTGCCGTGATATGTAATCGACGTCTTGGGTCAACCTTGAAGATTGTTCAGCCCGCCGGCCACACAAAAGGGTGAATTGGGATGTGTAACTTGGGTCAGTGGCAACCGGTAAACATCCGCTGCAGGCATGCAGCAGTTCGAGTCAGCTCCCGAATTGCTTTATTTAGGTCCTGTTCGAATCCCTTTAATTTTTAAAAATCTGGTTTTTGAAAACCGGGTGGGATCCAAACAGACTAATTTTTGTCTAGTTTCTTGTGTCCGTTTTTGATATATTATTAAAAACCAAGAAGCTGCTGATACCCAACTTTTGTTAGTTTTTGTGGCCCTGTGAGCAATAAATGAAGTCAGATTCTTAAAAACTTAGGGATTCAAACACCCCCACCAATTTTTCCAAGAATCTAGATTTTAGAAACCAGAGACAAAAACTAGTTTTTAAGAATTAAAACTCATCCAAACATGCCCTTATGCAGCATGTTCGTTTGGCTGTGGCTTGTCGTCAACGATCGTAAATTTTCAGTCGGAACAGCATTTTTCTTTCATATAAACCAGTCAGCAGTACTTCTTCACGAACCAACAACGATACGAACCAGCCAACCAATCAGGGATGGTCAGTGTGCAAAATAGTAAGCTAAAGCGGCACTATATAACATGCAGTAAAAGTTCGTATTCCACAAACGCCGTTTTATCCACTACATCAACCACGGCAGCTTTTGCAGCTAAACAAAGCTTCAGGGCGAATGAATTAAGACCTCGTTTAGTTCCCGGAATCGGCAGTGGCAAAATCATTGCGTGACACTGTAGTGTCCTATAACATTTTGTTTGTATTTAGTAATAATTGTCCAATCGTTGACTAATTAGGCTCAAAATGTTCGTCTCGCAAAGTACAACTAAATTGTGCAATTAGTTTTTGATTTCGTCAATATTTAATACTACGTGCATATACCACGAGTTTAATGTAACGAGGAATCTTCTTTTTACACAGTGGCAAAGTTTAGATTTTGAAGTACCTAAACACACCCTAAGCTTCACGGCAACTCATGCTACAGTGTTTGGGAGGAGGTGAAGAGCTTCGCAAATCGCAACTGTTGTGGCTGCAGCCTTAAGTGCAGCGTTAAATTGCATTCTTACTGTTGTGAATTGCGACTAGCTCCTGGGAAAATATTGCTCAATTATTTAACGAACATATAGGCTCGTTCGCTTCTCTTATAAATTGTATTTTTCACCTCGTTATTTCAACCGAAACATTGTTTTTCTCTCACAACAAATTAACCGGAACAGTGTTTCGGTTTGTTTTTCAGCGAAACAAACGGGGCAGAATCGACGAGTTAGGCTTTATTTAGTTCCTCCTAAAAGTTTACACCCTATACCATGAACACATGCATATAGTATTAAATATAGACTAAAAAATAACTAATTACACAGATTACGACTACTTTACATGACGAATTTTTTAAGTCTAATTAGTCTATAATTTAGCAATAAAGTGTTACAGTAACACATGTGCTAATAATAAATTAATTAGATTTAATAAATCCGTCTCATGATTTACTGACAAATTTTATAATACGACACCCCACGTGACTTCCGATATAAGACCTCACTATACTATGGATCTAAGAAACTAAACAAGGCCTTTCCGTCACATATCCTTCCTGTCGTATGAACTGATCATGCTAACTCGCCAGTCGCCAGCGCAGCACCACAAGTCCACAAGCTCCCGTTCATCTGCCGTCACCGCAAGATCCACAGGCTCACGGCTCACTTCGGTCCCTCGCCAAGGCCCAAGAGTCGCCATTGCCGTGCAAGTGCAAGCAACTGCTTCCCCGTCCTGCTGTCCCCCAACCTTCCCAGCCGCCCGCAGTCCCGACCAATGGAGAGGCAGAGGAGCCCCTCCACCTGCTCCAGGTCGTACCACTGCCACCACCTGCTGAGCCCAAAGAGGCTCCTCCTCGTCTCCTTGGCCTCCTTATCCCTCCTCTTCTCCTTTCTCTTGGTCTTCCACCACGGCCGCCCGCTCCGCCTTCCCATCGCGTTCGCCACAGCCCCAGCGCCGGTTCTCGTTGGTGGTGGGGGTTACTGGGGCGACCCAGCGGCGGTGGAGGTTGAAGAAGCGGTTCTCGGGCTCGGGAGAGAGGATTCGGTCGCGGGGGGAGCCCGCCCCGCTGTTCCCGGAGACTTGTCGGTGCAGGAAGCTGTTACTCCAAGACCAAGAGGGAATGGCACAGCACCCTCGAACGGTGAGGTTTTCAAAGGGCAAAAGATCGTGGATGCTGGAAACCACTCTTTTGGTTTTGGAGGCTTGGATTCGGCTGTGGAGGTGAAAGAAGCTGCTCCTGAAGGTGGTGGTGGCGAGAGGATGCCAAAAGATTCGATTTCAGAGGGACCAATCTTAGCAGAAGGCAAGAATCTTAGCAAAGAAACTCTTGGTTTGGCAACTGCATCAGCAGAGAAATTGGAGGGAACGGGGTCTGCGGGAGCTGTCAATTTCTCCATACAAGCTTCAGTTCCCGCAAAGGGGCCGAGAGACGAATTATTGCAGGATGGACATGTTGACGGTAGTCCTAATTCCTCTGTGCATGGAGCTTATGCTTCTGAACAAGGGGAACGATGGGAAAGCTCAGATCATTCAACAGTGAGGTACAAAGCAGCTCCAGCTCTAGTCAATCCAACTAAACAAGACCCTAATCTGAATCCAGAAATGCCCGCGAGCAAAATTGATTTTGGGCAAAGCAATGCTGTAAAGTGTGACGTTTCTGAGGGGAGTTGGGTGTTCGACGAGAGCTATCCCCTCTATGCGAGCAATGCGTGCCCATTTATAGATGAAGGATTCAGCTGTGAAGCTAATGGGAGAATGGACCAGAGCTATATGAAGCTGAGGTGGCAACCTAAGCATTGCAGCATTCCAAGGTGTTGTTGCATTAGGGTATTTTGCTCGCTTCTTTGGTTGCTTATTAGGAATTTAGGTAGTACTAGAAGTTTGCCATTCACTAACTTATGTGATAATTTTAGGTTTGATGCTAGGAAATTGCTTGAGATGCTGCGAGGAAAACGACTAGTGTTTGTTGGAGATTCCATTAACAGGAACCAATGGGAATCCATGATGTGCTTGCTGAGTATGGAAATCTCAGATCCTGCAAGGATTCATGAAACTCGTGGCCGCAAGATTAAGAAAGAGAAAGGATATTACAACTTCAAGTTCTTGGTTCGTATGCTCTGTAGCTGATGCGGAACTAGTCTGCTCAGTGTCTAGACTAGTGCATAATAGCCATCTTGGTGTCATTGTTGCAGGACTATAATTGCAGTGTGGAGTATCATGCCACACATTTCTTGGTGCATGAAACCAAGGCAAGAATGGGCCAGAAGGGCACAATGACGCTACGGATCGATACCATAGATCAGAGCTCATCAAGATGGAAAGGTGCTGATGTGCTTGTGTTCAACTCTGCTCATTGGTGGTCACGTCACAAAACAAATGATGGGTGAGGATTGACTAATGTGAAGCAATGAATATAGTTCTTGATCAAAATGAAATAAAATGCATTCTTCAATATTCTTGTTTCCTGTAACCTTGCAGAGAAACCCTAGCACCTGATGATTACATATCTGTTGCAGAGTGAATTTCTATCAAGAAGGAGATCATGTTCATCCATATCTTGATGCCTCCACTGCTTTCCAAAGAGTACTAACGACGTGGGCATCGTGGGTCGACCACTACATCAATCCACGGCAAACTCGAGTGTTCTTTAGAAGCACATCCCCATCGCATTTCAGGTTTGCTCTTCTACTGTTCAATCTGACAGGAACAACTTGAGAATTGCTGCTGTCTCCTTTATGGAGCATTTGGTTGTAAGATTTACCATTGATTTCAGCGGAGGAGAGTGGAATTCAGGGGGACACTGCAGAGAGAGCACACTAGGCCCTAATGACAGCCGTGTATGGCCAATGCCTGAGATAAACGTGATGCTGGAACAAGTCTCAAAGCAAATGAAGAATCCTGTGACAATTCTGAACATCACTGATCTATCCAGGCTAAGAATGGATGGTCACCCATCTGTTTATCGACGGAAGGGAGTAGATTTAACAGCTTCGAGTGCCCAGGACTGCAGCCATTGGTGCCTTCCTGGAGTCCCAGACACATGGAATGAGCTGCTGTTGTACCATCTAGTGTCCTCACGAGAATAGGATGCAGTAACAAGGTGGTGACCACTGTCTTTTTCCTTTTCTGGATAAGCCCTTATATGTTTTTTCCTCGGTAAATGTTAAGTTGATTCACTGATTGTGAAAAGATAGCAATTGGTCAGATATTCAGATGTCAGTTGTAATTGTAAATGTAAGTTGATTCATTGACTGTAAAAAGAGAGCAGTTGGTTGGATGCCATATAGAATTCAGAGATTCTTGACTGTAAAAAGAGTGCAATTGGTTGGATGCCTTTTAGAATTCAGAGGTTTGTTACAACGTTCATGATCCTCTCCTCCTCTCTTCTCTTTAAGTACTCTATCCTATACTAGTATATTGTCCGTGCTAACGCTACAGTGATATCAGGTAATACAAATCAAATTACTAAATGTGCTATATATATTTTGCTACTCAAACATGGAATGAGATTGACTTGTGATTCAAAAAATGATACGAAGACAAAAAAAAAAAAAAAAAAAAAAAAAAAAACCAAGCCTCATAACTATCCAAGCATGTAGACAGACTCAGAGATAGAAGCTCGAGATGCCAAGCTTGTCCATAGAAGCTAGAGATGCCAAGCTTGGACAAAGTCGTTACCAGGCATGTTTCATAGAGGATTTAAACAGCAACAACATCGTTTGTTTCACAGACTTGATCTCTATAGCTTGGGAAACCAAGGCAATGATCCCAGATATACAGGAAAGCAGATCTTTGAGAAAGCATGCTTAGGAGTCAGAATTGTTTGACAATGGATTAAAGGCCACCTGGTCACCACAATCCAAGTTATCTCCATAGTAGCAGGACAATCATAGTAGCACCAAAGCCAGGATATCTCTTGGACAAGTGTCATTCTTGGTGGGGTTTCCAATTATCACAAAAACATCATGGGCAGATGGTTGCTTCCTCCAAATAGTTGCTTCAAATGCTAGGGTGGCATTCAGTTCCAGTAACTCTGGGTGGTTCAACGTATCCTGTTTGAAACTCTTACTGATGATACCGTAGTTGTAGTTCCTGGGTAACATAAACAAGCAAATTCAAAAATCGTCAATCACATAACCTGCTGAACTCTTAACTGAAACTATCTTTGCTACTGCTACTGTGCAATCCAGTGATCCAACAACATAACTTCTATACCTAAAGAGATATATATTCAAAGATATACGTGTAAGATGGAGGCAGAAAGATGGAGAGCTAGACTGTCAAGGAAAAAGAAGCCAATAGCAGATAAATGGTGTTCGGTTTTTCACCGGCATTGCACGCTTAGTTGTTCTGGCTGCGTATGCAGCACTTTGTATGATCAAAATCAAATGATGTACACTACTACTGGAAACTATGAGTTTCCCTACGGTTTTTGTTGTTCCCTAGGGTTTTCTATCAGTCCTAGGAAATTATCTGTCTCCCTAGGGGTCCTTTTCAAAACCGTATAGAATCTGGGAAATGGTATTTCCCTAGGAACATGATTTCGTCGGGAGCAGGAAGAGCAGTGGTCCTTCAGCAAGCCACGTCATCGCCAGTGTGGAACCTTTCCCTAGCAAGTGGATAGAAAATCCTAGGGAATCAAATCAGAACCCTAATAATGTCCAGGGCGCCACTTTCTCCCGCCGTGGCCCAATGTTCAGGGTGCCATTTCTCCCGCGTCAATTTCTCCCTGCCTCCATCTACTCGCCTGAACGCTCGTCTTCTCTTCTCCCGTCGAAGCACAGAAGCCGGCCGCCCGCCCCAGCGCCCCACCGCCTGCCCGCCCAGCGCCCAGCCGGCCGGCCGCCCCCAGCGGCCGCACGGAAGCCGCCGCCCTTCCTTCCCCAAGCCGCCGCCGCCCTTCCTGCCCAACCTCGCTCCCTACTCAGCACCCAAGCCGCCCCCTCACATCTCCACCTTAGGCCCTCCCCATCCCAAGCCTCCACTCTAATCACCCATTCTCGATCTGCTGCCTCCCATTCCCTCCCTCCATGTCCTGTTCTTTAGATCTGGGGAAGCAAAGGATGGATTGACAAAGGAGGTAAGGTATGTTCTTGGGATTCCTAGTACATTCTTGTGTGGATAGCAGTAAGAAGATTGACAAACAATTGATAGGGATGTATTATTTTTAGGTCCTCCCATTCCATAGTCGAGGCACCCTTCTACTGCTTGGTCTCCTGTAGCCAAGGAGGAGCCAAGGAGGAGGGGCGTTGCCTGGAGCTCTGCTATGAAGAAGGAAGGCACCACATGTTCACATCTGCATAGGAGGGCAAGGGAGCCTAACTTTTAGTTGTGCACAGAACGAGGGCAAGGGAGCACCACATCTGTAGAAAGAAGGCTTCACGGTTTGCTTGTCACTCCTGAACAAAGGATTTCGTGTGAAGGAAATTTCCCTTTTCTTGGTCCTTTTTGTATTGTTAATTAAGTCAAATCAGAATTGACATGTCTAAATTAATTTATACGCTATGTTCATTTCTGAAAATTAGAAATTAAGAAGCTTAGCACTATGATAATTTTGGTGCTGCAACCTATTAGGTGAATATTCTTTTTTAAGTGACTTGGCTACTGGGTTTAGAGAATAGTGTAGCTCATCTGATGCAGTCTAGAAATTTGCTGAGTGTTTCCTACAGTTTAGCATCTCCCTAATTTTGTTACTAGTAATCAGTATATGTTCTATATAAACTCGTTTTCCTATTAGTCTTAGAAGACATGCACTAAATCATGTGAACAATTACTTACAAATTTTCTGTTTCAGTTCATTGTCACAATAATAGCCATGTCGATAGAAGACCGTGGTTGGATGTATGAAGGCTGAAATGACAATGGTTGTCATTCCTTGGATTGGGTGCGAAATACAAATGCTTTCCTAGACCAGGCTTTCAGTTGTGTTTCTAATTCTGAAAAACTTAGAGTAGTTTGTCCGTGTTCAGATTGTCATAATAAAGTTAGATGGAGAAGAGCCGTCATGAGCATGCATTTGTGTAAAAGAGGATTTATGCCTGGCTATACTATATGGACTGAACATGGTCAGCAACCTATTAGTCAACCTACAATGGAGTATGCGTACGATACTGGTGATGGTTTAGATCAAATGTTAGCTGATTTTGAAGGATGCCTTGTTGAGGAGATCACTCACTTAACATCATTATACTTACATGATCTCATATCTAGCTCCCGAAACCAGCCACAACGTTATGCTCATAATGCTGATCCATCTGATTCTACCCTTAGTTTGTTCCAAGGGCGTGGATGGAAGAGTGGTAGAGGAACAACAAGGTTTCTAACTGTTGAAGAGTATAAGCAATGATTTATATCTTCGCAAACTTGACTGAAATAGATGAATATGTTCAGTGAGTACACCAATTTAATAAACCAACTAATACCATTTATCATTACAATAATTCATGCTTTTGTGTCCCATAGAAAATTTGAACGAGAACAATGGAAGCGTGCAAGACCACCAAGCCAGAGACAATTAGACAATTTAAGGATTAATGGGGCTGGCCATGGCAAACCAAATTTGCTTGAATGGTTTAGAAACATGGTACTAGCTAATTGACCAATTTCTGTGTAGTTTTATACAGTCATGTAAAATCTGGATGCACTTTAATTTTTAATTGTAACATTGCAGTGTGACATGGATGCAAGCATACCTAGTGAATTGCGCCGTTTATCACGTGGATGTGGCCTCAAAGTGAAGTCGTATGATATTTATGATGTTAATGGGTACAGATTTAGATCTGAAAAATATGAAAAATCTAGAGGGAACCTAGCTACCACCAACACCGGGGTGCTTGCTGTTGGTGCTGATGATGGAAGCAATAATGAGCTTGAGCATTACAGTATTATCAAAGACATTATTGAGTTAAAGTTTGATGGTGGTAGTGATTTCAGCCTTGTTTTATTTGAGTGTCATTGTTCCACCCAACTAATGGAGTGAGGCACTTGGATAGACTTGGACTAGTAGAAGTTGCCCATGAATCATGTAATCCAGTAAATGAGCCTTTTGTTCTTGCTAGCCAAGTAAAGCAGGTTTATTATCTTTCATATCCATGTAAATCTGATCCGAACCTCAATGGGTGGTGGGTTGCATACAAGGTCAGCCCGGTTGTGAACTTGTCCATTCCTTCAATGGATGAGTACGATGATGAAGACTCACCATGTATAGATACCTTCTAGGAAGATGGTCTAGAGGGAGAATTTGTCATAGATATTGGAATAGGTTTAGATAATATCACAATAAGTGATGGCTTTGATGAGATTAACGATCCAAATGAAATTTCTATGCTAGTCAAACAACAAAATGGTGTGACCGGAGAGAATGAACCTCCAATTGCGAGGTTGTGCAGATCTTCCCCCAACCATCCCTAATGAGCAAGATCGCCCATTGATTGAGCCACAAGGAAAATCGTGAGTTTCTCAAATTTACACTGTGACTTTCATGCAAATGTGTACTCAAACGACGTGTTAATTGAATTGTTGGTTAATATATAAAGGCACTGGACTGGAGGGGAGGGAAGGACTCCGGCAAGTGTGTTGACATGTCTACTAAACACCTATCATCCTAGTTTGGTTGAGTACAGAGACAAGACTATGGTTGCATCAACATGGAAGCATTATGAAGCATCAAAAGACT